AGTCTGAATGAAGAACTCCTTGGAAATCTTAATTGTAAAAATTTAGTTATAAAATTTTCATACAATCTGCAAATTAGAAGTCTAAATTTGTCTATAAAGCAAGAGAAAATAGTATAAGATGCAAATTTAAATGTTCGATATCAGACTTTATCCTGATACATTCAAACAGAATTTGAAGATTGGTTTTTCTGCTTTTAAATCTTATGTAGATATTTATTTTATTTTAAACTGTAATCAACAAGTTATGATGCCAAAAATTTAACATATACATCAAGAGAATTTAAATTAATATCCTCATTAACATCATGGTCATTGCGTCCTATGTAAGAGAAAACAGGATTAGCTTCCCATTTTAATCCTCCCATTATTGATGCTATAGATCTATATCTTTCCTTCCTTAAACCACTCCTATCTCTCTAAGCCCCTTTATTTATGATTTTAATCATAGAGGGTGACCTAAAAATGAATTAACTGATATATATTTTAAAACCAATTAAAACTTGTTTAAATAACAGTTAAAACAGTACCACATCATTACTTGTAATTCAATTGCTTCAGTGGAAACTACTGAATCATGAATAACTATAATACAGATGCTTGAAACTAATTTTAGACCTTCTTTAAGATATATATATATAAAATTAATAAATATATATATGAAAAAACAATTTTTAAATTACAATCATTAAAAAAGTAAATATCTTGTTTGTATTGTTAATTTAAATTACAGAAAGATGCTGAATTAATAAGAGAATTATGATATAATTTAGAAAAATGACAAATAAAATGCACATATTTAGAATTAAACGAATCTCTCAAGAATTTCCATAAACAAAGGTAATTAAAATTATTAATATTAAATCTGTTATCACTAACAAAATTAATTTTGCTTTAATAATTATTAATTTAATTTAATTATTTTACAAGAATGAAGAAAAATCAATTTCTTTTAACATCATAAAATTCTTAAATAATTTATTTATGAATTTATCAAATTCATTGCTGGAGTAAAAGTTAAAGTTGCCAAGCAACTTACATAACTGAAATACTTATATCAGTTAGGTAAAATATTCATAAATTTTACCAATAAAAAAAAGCTAAAGAAATATATATTACATGATTTACTTTTACCTGGAACATATCCAAAATTTTGAATATTTTCCAATATGTACTGTACATATATATCAGGGAAGGGGAAAAGTGGTCTAGCCAAAGTAAGAAAATGTTTGTCATGTTAAATCCAGTACACATGTACCTGGCTTAACATGACACCTAAACATGTAGATAAATACTGACAGTTCTGTCATCCACAGTTCAGTTCAGGTATATCAGGACACGTGTACCTAGTTTTAAAAGAGAAAGCAATCCCTAAGGTATTGCTTTCCCTCCTTCCTTTTCCTTTTACCCGTTCCTGTATGGAAAAGTCTATTGATTTGGTTTGAGTGTTACACACTAGTAGGTGATTTAAAATTAAAACTATGTAATTTGGCAGTGAAAAGTAATAAAGCCACAGCTAAACTCTTTCCTATGGCCAAGTTTAACTTATTCGCTATCCAGTATATAGTTGGTTATAAGTTCCTATGGCCTATTATATATATTAGTCTTAGCAGAGTGCAAGTATTTTGATTGACAAATGACGTTAGCAATAGAATTAAAGTACGAGCCAAATATTTTTCTAGCAATCCAAAATTCAGTTAACCATATTTTGGGTTCTAGATGTACTTGCTAATATGAATCTTTAACTGAATGAGTTAGCATTTAATTTATGTATTGAACAAGAAGTATCTCATTATAAACAAAGTACTAAAGTATTTAAATAAGGCAGAAATTATTAACTAATTTCTAGACATCCTATATACTTGTAGAGATATAATATATTAAAATGCTTATTATTTAATTTTATTCCAATTTTCTAAGTGTTGTGTTTATTATCCATACAACAAATCAAAATTTTATGCTAAAACTGAATTAATTTTCTAATAGGATTAAAACACAGTAAATAAAACATTTATCTTATATATATTATCATCAGGAAATTTGTTTTAAAAATCATGAATTTTTAATTGATTTATTGTCAAGAATTGCATACTTGTTGCTAAATGCTTTAACAATTAATTATGTTTAGTTAAATTTATCAAAGTGTCCTTGATTTGCCAGATTGCAGTTTCCAAATTTGTAAAGATCACAAGACATTGCTTCTATTATAAAAAAAAAATTCCACTGCTTACTGTAGATTCCATGACAATTCCGATATAAGGCATGTTAGTTTTAGCACATTCAGCTTAAGTGCACACTGGACAGAGAAAAATATCACCTGCAATGTGTGCACATCCAGGCAGGTGGACACCTGTAACTTAAATTGCAGATGGACTTTTGTCTCCATCAGTCCACCCAAGTGTGGGTTTAAAGCACTTGATAGAACTTGACGCTTCATTATCCCACATACAATTTAAATTAATAACTTCTATACGTAATAATGAAAATTAAATCACAGAATATTCACCATTCATTTTATGCACTTTACAGATTTGACTTTTGGTAATTAATTCTCTCATTTTCTTTATCTGACAAGAGATAAAATTAGAAATATTATCTACTTTTGTTAATAAATAACACGATTCAATGCAGTCAGAGTAGAAAATAGAACTGATTTAAAATCTAAAAAAGAATGGGGAGGAAACTGGCATAAAAATAACTAATAAAATATTTCTAAATTAAATCTAAATGAATTTAAAGGAATTAATGAAAATTATTTATTTTATTAATCTAGAAAGAATATTTAATAAATTTCATTATTTTGATAGATTACTTTAAAAATCAATAGCAAGATATTGGATAATATCAGTTATTAATTGAAATAAACTGATAACAGGGGCTAAAATTTAGTTTTTATCACAGCTGATAAAAGTTATGGTAATAATTGTTTATTTTTCTGATATTTGCTTAAGGGATTTGAAAAAGTAACTTGCAATTAGTATCAAGTGTATTTATGTATACACTTATGATAAAACAAATCTTGAATTTTGGCAGTCTAAACAATTTCTTCTGTTTTCTAAGTTAGATATTGTTGATATAATTGTATAAAATCTTAATCTCAATTGTTGCAAGTGGATTTGATACTGGCAATGTTAAGAAGTAATTGTTAATGATTATGATTAAAAATTGCTAAAATTGTCACACAATTCAATGACTTAATAGGCTACCATAAAATTCATACAGTGCATGATCTACCTACAATATGCTTACAATTTATAACATCTTTCTGTATTTTTGCAAGTGTGTCTGCCTTAATTCCATTATCATTTAAACGTAAACGAAAGTAATGTTCTCGACAGCATTTTTCTATCTTTGCAATATCTGACAAAGGCAGTAAAATTCTGCAAAAAACATTAATTTGGTTTTGCTTAATTTATTCGCATTATATTTAACAAAATTACTCTGCATCTGTCGATCCGACTTCCGTACAAATCGCCACGTTTGCATAGAATCGTGAATTTTACGAATAAAATTATGTTTACACAAATATTTCCCACAATAACATTATCAATTTAATTAGAAATTCATATTACAGATTACAATACAATACAATCATTTGTTAACCAATAGGCATATTTGGTAGGTATTTCATCATTGTCTAAATTTAAGAAATATGGAATAGCTTTATGTTAGAATATAAAATTGATTAATGGAATAATATGTTCAATTAAATGACAGGTTTAGAAAGCGGTTAAATGAATTAATCGTTTTAATCAATTCGTATGTGTTACGCAAAATATCTCCAATCTCTTACAACAAATGGCAAACCGTGCAACAAACCAATATGTATAGGATACATGTAATTATGACTGAACATTCATTACGTTAGTACTAAGTAGTCTAAGCTACAAGTACCTGTTTCTATTTTTAAATAGAATTTTGACGGAATTAATCTGATACTTAACATACCTCTAAAAATGCTTATTTTTTTGGATTTTGCATTTTTTCTATGGTCGATTTCCAAAAGAAACAAATCGTGAGAAATAATGAGAATAATTTTCAAAGCTTCTTAATATTGTCATTTATTTCTATAGGAAGTAGCACTTTGGTGATTGATAATTGTAAGGTGGCTACTCCTCTAAACAGAATGTATAATTTTTTCGGCATACCTTGTTAATTTTTTTCTTTTCCGAATTATTGGAGCACGAGTCCAATTTTATTAGAACTCATAGGTGGACATCTCCAGTTATATAAGTAATACTGCAAATTTCCATCACCTAAACCAAACTTCAGAATATCCAAGTATTCCTTGTTTTCCATGAGATCGAGGGCATTAAAAACGTCGTATCCCGCATTTTTTGCAGTTATGAGAGCATCCTGCATAAGATCGGCAAGAGGAGTAGCCGTGCTGACCGAATAAAACGCATACGCGGCCTTCAGAGTCTTGTGAACCGGATGGTGCATAACGGTCGAGGGAAGAGTGTAATAACTAACAAAATCCGTAATTCTTCCGTTCTTCTCGACGACGAAACTATCCACTATTTCCGTGCGAGGAATAAACCAGTGGCAGAATTCTTCTTCCGTAAAAACGGGCGCAAGATCGAACTTCTTTAAATAAACAGACAGAATCTTCTGCACTTTAGGAACATCGGATGGCACCATACGTCGAAAGTTTAGTGTTCTGGGCGCCTCCGGAAGCTTGTATAGTTTCAAAGTCCGCTGCATCGTCATGTTTCGACTCAAATGGGAAAATTTCACCTCGATCAACTTACGAGGATTTAGAAAACGATGCCAATATCTACAAGTTCCGATCGGCTTGGGAATAACTATTCCCGCCGTATAGACGGCCTGAAATATTCCCTCCAGATTGACTCTCCTGGTGATTTCGCGAATGAGGACCGGAGCGACTCTCTTCGACCGAAGTTTCTTATGCACACAGAGAAAGTTTATCTCCACCATCTTCTGCACGTGGTCGTATATCCGGATGACCGCGGGTACGGCACTGATGAATCCGACCAACTTCTTACTCTTTATGACGCGTATTCCGCAATGCCACTGACGAAGCCATCCCGGAGGCTGCAGCGCCCACCGGAGAAACTCCGGAGAGTAATCGAATCTGAACATGTTGTCGTCGTCTTCCACGTAATTCTCGTTCAACAACTGATACAATTCTTTCAAAACAAACAACTCGTTAACGTCCAAAGTATCCCACACGAATCCTTGAGGAAGACTGTACGGCTCTTTCCTAATGTCTTCGACCCTCTTGTCGGGTTCTATCGGTTCGTTGGTGGTGATGACTTCGTCCAGTTTCGGAACGGCCTGAGTGCTCCAAAATTCGTAACTTTTCCTCAACGCTTCTTCGTGAGTTTTGGCCGGACCTTGGTGGAAATTAAGCATCTCCATAGCCTTCTGTATCTCCTGCAACTTAGCTAAGGGTGGTGCTTTTAGATCCGATGCAGAATCTGTACTAGAAAACGCATTCTCTTCATCTTTATGTTTGTTTTTCTTCTTACTTTTCCTCGCATGATTACCACCTGTATTGACTATAGATTCTGTATTATTCATTTGTTGAGACGAAGCAGATGTTTTCTTTTCTTCGTTTCCGGTTATGTTATTGATGGAAGCGCAGCTCTTTTCGTTCTGATCGCAATTTTTTCCCTCGCCAATCTTCTCCCCGTCTACGTTGTCCGCCATGATGATTCAGAGCCAAGAAACCAGTCGATGACGCAAAGTAGTCGCTACAACAGCGCCACGCCACGATCGTCGCGGCTAACGAACTAAAATGCCACACCTTAACGACGACCTTGAATTGGAAAAACACGTTTACACTTTTATCGATTATTTGCTAAAGAATCTGTTTCTAAAAAATTCCTTTGGACGAAATTTCACTTTAGTTAAATTAATACGGTTAAAAATCGAGAAAAATGTAACGCGTTTAAAATCTCAAAATTAATTTCGTAAACCGACGTCGGGTGGGAGGTCGACACGTTGAAAATTTCATTTGAAAGAAAATGCATTTGCTGTTCGGAAAAAGTCCTTTAAGAGTTTAAAAATTAAAAGTATATGCTAATTAAAAATTAACCTTTCGAATAAAATTAATATGACTGTTTTACGTCATATTATCTATCGTTCGGAAGTAGACCTTCCCAGATGAATATATAAATATATATTTATAGAAAACATAAAAGTCAGATAAAGTTTTAATATTAATCTAAAATCCTAACTATTTTTCAGCATATTTCTAAAAATAAATATAACAATCTACACCGGATTCACACAAATATCCGGAAATGCATTTGTTTGTACCCACTTTGAGATTCATTAACAGTAGAAATACGCGAATTAACAAATGTTTTTACGCAAAATCCGAGTAATTTTAATGCTTCGATTCTACTATATTATATATTAATGCGCGTATTCGTGCCTATATTATGTGTAACAATGATAGATGTAAACATTGTATTGTTTGAAAATTCGTGGCGTAATTTTGAATATTATAAAAAAATATGAACTTTTTCTCTTAGAATAGACACGCAGTACACTAANTCATATATGTAAATAAACTTACAAAAATATTGTTATAACTAATCATAGGAATATTAAAAATCAAAATAATAATAAATTTCAACTGAAACAATGAACAAAAATTTTATAGAGATTTATATGGGTGTTATCCATAAAGAAGACATCAAAATAAATCTATATAAAATTTTTCACCATATCCTCACCATATGGTCAATCCTTATAAACCTGGTGATTATTTTACTTAACTGATCAACACATGCATTCTACTGGTCATGTGATCATGGCTGCAGTATATTGGTCACATGACAATCAGCTTTATCTGCAATCTGTACTCAATGAGGTGGTTAGGCTGGAATATAAGAAGAGAGATGTGCAAATGTGTTAGGAGATCCTAATACATTTATTATTATTATTGATACATTTATTACTATTATAATTACAAATAATTACTGTTGCCTCTGCCACATTCCTTATAGTAATAATTTAACAAATTTCAACACATTAAACCCAAATTGGTTACATATTCATATGTTATAGACTCCAAGAGTATTATAAATGTACATGCAGAAAGAAAACAATTACTGAGAAGAGGAATAAAATACTCAAAAATTTAAAAAATTTAAAGAAACTAAGCCGTGTTCTTTCAACCATGTCCAATTGTCAGAAAACAATAACTATGTTTCTTCACAGAGATGTTTTGACGTAAGCTATGCCCCAGCTGAAATATGCAAGAAAGAAAGATGATGACTTAGTTTCTTCAAAATTTTTTAATTTTTAAAAAATATCGTACACCATTAAAATACACAAAAATTTGATTATTTTACTTAGTTACGCTTAAAAAAATCAATGTAACCCAGAAATTCTGGATCAAACCTGCAGAGGAGGTCACCCTAGTCACTTGATGTGGTCCATACTCCCTGTAATGCCACCTGTATGGGGGCAAGCTTAAAAAATTCTGACTGGCATTTTACTCTTTTGTAGCCAGTTCTAGGTATATTAGTTACAGTCCAAGTGTAAAAAAATACATAACAGTAGCCTAAGTTTGCATGATGAAAGCAAAAACATATATTATATATAACTCATATAGGCCCTGCTAAGATAAGGGTACTTAGTCACCTTATAGTTCCATCATAGCTATGGTTCTGACATGGCTACAAATTCCATACGCATCAATTGGAAATTGTCTGTATGCACCTCCCCATTTTTCATACAAATTTCAATTTTTCTTCTCTTCTTTCGGACACTTTCTTCCATGACACAGTTGGAAAGCTACCACTAATTATTTTTAGGTTTTCTACTGTTAAAAGATAGTTGAGANAAGCCTAACTACAGGTTATAGAGGGATATAGATATAGTAGAGGCTGTAGGTTATAGAAATCTAAGGATTACTTGTGCATATTTCCTTATTAAACTAGCATATATATAATACAAGTATTTTTAAATATATAAACACAAAAACTGATCACAAGTTAGTAAATGCAAGATAGTAAAAACTGATCATAGTTATACTGAAACATTAGATTCAAAGAAGAAAGATTCATTTTTTAAAAATATATATGTAATGGATAAAATAATTAAAACATTTGCTAATATTTAAAATAGAATTACAAATTCAAATGTCTAGACAAAAAAGAAAAAAAAAAAAAAAAAAAAACAGAATTTGCTACGAACACTCCCAAATTTCCTATGATTGAATTGTATTAGAGCTCACAGTAAGAGAATATACCAACAAATTTTATAAGTAATGGATTAGACATGAATCTAATATAGTGTAGTCATACTGAAGTTCAAATACAAGTATAACATGTTTCATTTTGCTTTGTGACAATGAATTACAACAATAAAAAGCTAAAGAAATCAAGAATAAAAGAAATCAAGAATAAAATAAATCAAAATATAACATGCTAATAAGACTCTACTATTATCTAAAATCAAAATCTATACCAGGTAGTGGTGGATTCAGATGTATGTACTATACTCAAAGGGGGATTAACTCAAAAATTAAAAATAGTTGAATAATAAATTTATTTATTTATTTTATAAAACTTTTCACCTTGTGGGCACTAAGAGAGCCTTTCTTTGCAAAGCTTATTTTGGGTTTGTTCCAAGCCCACAATAAGGAGGCTGGGTGGTGAAGGATAGAGCCCAATGTATACAGATGAACTAACCCAAAAAATTTTGGTGGTTTTTTTTTACGTGTCCAGATTTGATCCTGGGTCCCGAGAGGTAGGCTGCCACTTTAATTGCTCAGCCATCTGGTCATTACTATCTTTTATGAACATTCCCAAATTTCCTTGCATTAAATGCAGTCTATAGCATTTAATGCAAGGAAAATTGGGAATTGCATTGCATTGCAACAGATTGGAAAAATGCAAAATTGGAAAATTGCATTGCAACAGATCTTGCATTAAATGCAGATCTGTTGCAATACAATTTTCACACACTTATGATGACAAATATGGTTTAACAGGCCATTGCATTGCATATTGCAATGCAATGCAATGGCCTGTTAAACCATATTTGCCAGCATAAGTGTTTTTTAAAAACACTGTTTTTATTTTTTCAATAATTGTAGAATCAATCTTTATAATAATACTGTTTTTATTTTTTCAAACAAGTAGATTTAAAATTTATTGTTGAAGTTTTTTCTATCAATGAGGAGGGCTTAAGCCCTTCTATTTGTTTGTTAAGTTAATGCAACACAAAACTTGTATATATATAACTAGGCAATCTGCCTAGGGAGGGGATGCCTTCTGGAAAGTCTTTTTAAGGGAAACTGGCCCCTATTTAGGTGTTAGAGATGGGGAGAAAACCCAGAAAACTCCATGTGGCCAGCCTGTCCGAGTGAGGCACAAACCCACATCTGAACTCCCAGTGTTCAGGGTATGAAGACTGCTTAGCCACTGGTAGGCTCACCCTTCTTTTCACCACTGATATCAGGTAGAAACAAAAGTAGAACTCATTATTGAAAACTCAGCTGGAAAGAAAAGGCAACTCAACAAGTTATAAAATAGGCTATCTACTGTTGTGTATTTTACTGTTAGTTACATCAGTTAAAAATTAAATGAGAAAATCCTTTTATAATGTGTAAATATTATAGTACTTCATTATCATGTGATTCATATTGCACATATACATCTTAGAAAGTGCTGGATAGAATGGAGACTCAACTATCTAAATAAGGTCTTAAATGAGTCCTTACTGTAGCAATGTTTTATCGCACTATTATTTCACTTTAGTATTTATCTAAATATTTAAATTGAATTTATAAGGTTGTTCCTCTCAAAATATTTTGATGATTTATGAATGAAGTTGCTTTTTTATTAAGAGATATACATAAAATTTTCAAACATATAGTTATAATTAATTATAATAATAATAATAATCCGATTTAAGTAAATCAAATTAAACAAGTTAATTTTTAATTTGTTTAAAATATCATTTATTTATTATTTTATAGAATATTTGAAGTTTATGTACAAATGTTTGCAAAATCCTTTAGTAATTGGAGAATATCTCTACAATGTATTCAGTGAAGAACATAAGAAATCTAAATCAATTATGGTGTGGCTTGATCAAAGTTTAGATTTAATAACATATAACAATTCACTTCGGGCAATTTAATATAACAATTTTTATAAAAAATTCCTTGGTTCCATTTTACAAAAAACTCTAGAAACAGTTGAGCTTTTCATGTGATTTGATAGACTTTAATGATTTCCAATGATTAAATGGAATGTGAAGTCTAGAATAAAATGGGAAGAGAGAAGCTTGTGTATAAATATAAACATTCACAACAAACCTGATATAGCCCGATGTTATACAGCAAACTTGGAGAGTTATTGAGAAGCATGTAGATAAATTCTTACATTACCTCTCTAAGTTATACTTTATATACATATCAGAAAGGATTTAACCATTATATCCAAGAAACTGAATATGAAGAAGTTGATGATCATTACTTTACATCCACTGCCAACCAAGTTAAGTTAACTCCAGTCAGGAAAGCACTGCCCTTCCTGAATTATATAAATTCTGAACCCTCTGAGGGTGTTTACATTTGCAAAATCCACAAAGAAGGAAAGAAGTTATGAATGGTGATTGACAAATGCTGCTCACTGATGTACCTTCTGGAAAAACACCTTCAAGTCTTTATCTCTCTTTAAATGAGGAATACATCATTTCAACTGCCAGCTTCTCCATTTTTCATATAAATTTTAATTTCTAACTATAATGCTTAGGGAATTTGATACCAACTGTACAGTTCTATTTCTCAGCTAAACTCAATAAGGGTTCCCCACTAAAATTAAAAATTTTGTATACAAAATTATGCTCTAAGGACACAAATCACATAGTGATAATTCTTTTTTGAAATCTCAATTTTCATTCTAGAGAATACAATTTTGGAAATCTCAATCCGTA